CATCCATCACCACTGAAATATAAAGAACACACTTGTAAATGTCAATCAATCAATCTATATTTTTTCTTTTTTTTTGGAAGAAGATGCACATTAGGATTTTTATTTAGCAGCACATGGAAAAGCTGTTATTTTTCTGTGTACACCTGTTGTGCTGTATTTATGTTGTACACATCCTGCCTTGCCTGACCCATACAACAGGTGAAGTTGAACATCGTGACTGCTCTAAAAAAAAATCACATCCCTAAACTAATATGCAGTCTGTTAGTTAGAGAATATCTGCTTCCATCAGAGCCTTCTAGTGCACTTTTGATTTCTCCAGAGCCTTGGTGCTCAACTGGTGGGCCGTGACCCAGAAGGGGGTCGCCACCCAATGTTCAGTGGGTCGCCGTGTGCCTTCCACTTTTCTAGGTAAGAGGCTCCTCAGCTCTCCCCTAGCGCAGCACTGTCAGTTCTCATACCAAGCAGCCATTCAAAATATGCTGCATGGCGCTGAGTGTCATCTTGAGGTGGGGTGGGCTGGGGTTATGGCTGCGAGGGAGCTCTATCCATACGTGCATTGCTTACAGCTCCCTTGAGTGTCCTATAGAGGTACCTGGACTGGAGTGAGGTCACATTCTGGCTCCCGGCACCTCTACAGGGTGTGTAAGAGAGCTGTACAAGTAATGCACATATGGATGGAGCTCCGTCACAGCAGCCCAGCACTGGACCCCAGGCTGGGGATCCACTCTATTTCTCGTAAGGTAGGGAGACTGGGTGGATTTGAAAAATAATTAATTTTGTGTATGTGTGTGTGTGTGAGAATGTCTGTGGGTGTGTGAGATTGTGTCTGTGGTTGTTTATGTATGTCAGTGTTTTTTAGGGCCCTTTCACACTAGTACAGTGCGTTAATCGCACAATCCCGTTCAATTAACGCACTGTACCACGCAATCGCACCAACCGCACGTTCTGGTGTGGGAGGTGCATTGCATTGCCATTCATTTGAATGGCATCCCAAATGCATCTCGCACCCATAGTTCTATCGCCCCCATCGGAAACGTGCGGTACCACATGCCATGCGTTCCATTGGCAGTGCAACTTGGGTCGCGATTTAATGACCAAGTACAAATGTGGGTCCTGAGGTTACACAGGTTGAGAACCACTGATCTAGAGGAATTATTGAATGAGACCAACCATCCTCAAAAGACAGAGTCAGTAAATTGCTTAATACACCAATTCTGTCTATATCAATTTTAGGTGGACCCGCTTTTTAGGACACCATAACTGGCTGTCTGTAGAGGAGCCTCCAGCTTACAGAATTTACTTCAGCACTATTTATATAATTCAGTTATAAGATAATGCCAAAATCTGCTTTGCAGTACATAGAAAGTCAAAATGACAGTTTCTTACTATCCATGACAGACAACACATAACTATTAAATGTCTATTTAATAATCTGGTGTCAGGTCCAGTGTGGGAGAACGCTTTGGATAAACATGTAACCCTGCAGAAAAATTACACAAAGCAGCCACTGCTCATATTCCTTGTTCTGAGGTCACAAAGCCCTATCCCTCTTGCCAATGCAGGCAAAAAAAGGGTGCGCTGCAGCTGGATACCGGTTCTCACAGAAACAATTGCCGCACAAACAACTGATATCACAAGCTGGATACTGTTTTGTTCCCGAAGTCAAAACATGCTCTAAACAAACACAGGCTCATCCAACTCTCACATGTTTCACCAAATGGCTTATTCATAGAGATGAAGAGAGATTACAAAGACAAGATTTTATTGTTCTCTTTGTAATCTCTCTTCATCTCTATGAATAAGGCATTTGGTGAAACGTGAGCTCTGAGGAAGGAGGAAACTCCCCCAAAATGCGTGTCAGCTTTCTGGTTATCTTTGACAACCGCATTCTATCAATTGTTCATCTAAATTGTGAGTTGCTCTTTGTACGATTTTTGTACTCCATCAAATAAAAAAACTTTTTTACACTAGGAATGGGCGCTGTCCCCTCTTTTTTTCTGTTTACATGTTTGGTGAAACATGTTATAGTTGGGGGAGCCTGTTTACAGCTTGTTTTGACTTCGGTAATAAACAGTATCCAGCTTGTGACACCAGTTGTTTGTGCGGAAATTGTTTATGTGAGAATCTGCAAAAAATAGTTTTGTCTTGTTTCGAATCCATAGGGATTTTTTTCTCTCCAGATTTTGGATCCAAAATGTTATTCAGTTCATTATTCGGATTTGGGATCAATCTGAATTTTTGTTTTGGAATGAAGTCACATGACCCTGTCTGTAATGCAACTACCAACAGCCCAAAAAAAACACTTATGATTGGCCAGAGAACATGTCCGAATTAGTTTTGTTTTGAACAAATTTCATTGGGATCCAAATTTTCATAAACGAGCAATCAAGAACCAATAGGGAGACTTGCTGTAAAAGTGGTGCTTGGCCCTGTGCTTCAATACTGTCAAAAATCAAAGCTTGCATATAATTTAAGCTCTTATACATCTCTCCCTGGATCGGTGAATAGTTTTGACTTGTATCTTATGTGCATTGTTTCATTATATGCTCATTTCTCATTTGCCCAGTTTTGAAAGAGGTTTATTTAAACTATTTCTCACCTACAATCTGAAGAATAACGCTCCCCTGTATGATGCTACACTGTATGCAGCTGCTAGTTGTCAATAACAACTCTCATCTCCACTAATAATCAGGAACCAATTACAGTGTTCCCAATCATGTTACCAGTATGCCACCTATGGCATCACAAGCAGGCTGGAGGCTCAATTCAGAAAAGCCACTGCAGCCTAAAGATGGCAGTGCATGCCTTTTTATAACTGTAATTGTCCAATATAATTACAGTATCAATAAATAATGGAAAAATATATATTCTAATATTATATATTGTATTTATACACACGCATTTTTGGTTTGTTTGTCAGCCTATAATAAAAAAACAGCAGTTTTTTATTGAAACTGTGAACCAAATATGTGTCCTTACATAGTAACATAGTATGTAAAGGTGAAAAAAAAACAAGGTCCATCCAGTTCAACCTATGTATGTGTGTGTGTGTATTTATCTGGTTCTACAACTTCCCATATCCCTGTAGATTCCGCAAAAGAAGAAACTCATCCAGCAGTTTCTTGAATTTATCAATGTTATCAGCAGATACCACCACCTGTGGGAGGGAATTCCAAACTTTCACAGTGAAATACCCCTTGCGAATTCTACAATTGAACCCCCCCTCTTCTAACCTCCTGTTTTGTCCCCGGGTTCTCAATACAGATTTGGGATTAAACAGTTTGTTCCTCATAACTCAGGCCTTCAATCCTGTTAATTAATTTTGTAGCCCTTCTCCGAACTCTCTCCAGTCCCAGGAAGTCCTTCCTTAGAGTCGGCGACCAGAAAGTTGAAGTATTACTCTTTGATCCCTTGCTACAATTCCTCTTTTAATACACGCCAGTATCTTGTTAGCATTGCTGGCTGCTGTTTGGCATTGCTTACTATTGCCAAATCTGTGATCTATGAGGACCCTTGGTCCTTTTCTATTCCTGACTTACCTAATGTTGCACCCCCTAAGTAGTTGTTTGCGCACATGCTCTTTACTCCCATGTGCATAACCTTACATTTTTCAACATTAAATGGCATTTGCCATCTTGTAGCCCATGCCTCAATTTTGCTTAGGTCCTGTTGTAGTGCGAATATCTCTTGTTTGGAATTTACTGCTCTACATAGTTTAGTATCATCTGCAAAGACTAAAATTTAGCTATTTAGCCCAATCTCTATGTCATTGATGAACAAGATGACCAGGATCGGTCCCATGACTGAACCCTGGAACACCCCACTCACAATCCTTGCCCAGTTAGCGAATGACTCATTAATCACTACCCTCTGGTCCATTCTTGCAGCCAATTTTCCACCCATGCATATACAATTTCATCTAGACCTATAGACCATAGTTTATGGATTAAACGTTTGTGGGGTACTATGTCGAATGATTTAGCAAAGTCCAGATACACCACGTCGTCTTTGTATTCTTTTTTTCTAATTTATTACTTACTTCCTTATAAAATGTTAATAGATGAGTCTTAAATTATTAGTTCTTAAATTATTTAGGTAGGCAAATGAGTTATGGAGTAAAAAAAAAAACACAACCGATAAATTTTTTTAATAAGATGAATAAGCACTAATTTATTTACCAAGCAGAACAATTACGGTAAGGGATAATTTACACCAACCCCATTGGGCTGCGCTGGGCAGCACTGCCCAATACAGTCTAAACTCAGACCATGCAATTTACCTGACATCCTACTTCTTCAATTCACACCAATGCACTCTCAGTTTGTTATGTTAATAAAGTCTAAAAAACAAAGAATCTAAATACACACTTCAAGTGTTGTATAACCCATTGCATTGTAGCATGTGTGCACAACACACACCAGCGGACGGGCCTTATGCTCACCTTAATGCTCGCCAGCTGGTGTGAATGGGCCCATAAAGAAAATATAATATGAAATCTCTAAATTCAAATCCAAGCTATGAAATTACAATTTCAGATTTTGTTAAATATTAGCTTTCACTTTAAGCCGAACTTCAGCTCAACCTTCTCTTATGGATTATACATTGCTAAATGTTGTACATCAATATATGCTGGAAGTATGTAACATTAATCATTTAATAAGAGTGGAAATCTTCCAGTCAAAATCTTTAGAAATACACCTCTAAGCCTCCAGTTCTATCAATTTTCAGTCAAATTTAAATTTTGAGGGAACTGCATCTGAATCATAACTGAGCCAAAGGAGAACTAACTGAATTGCCATCTCATGTAGTGAATGTTCCTAGAATAAAAAAGTAAGTACTTCAATTTCTTGGCACACACCATTAAGTGGAAACTGCAGAAGCTGTCACTGTCAGCGTAATTTCATAACTACTCAAATATTTTGGTCTAATATTTGCTTCAATTTAGTTTTCATATTGACATTTGGCAAGCTGTGAAATGCCAGGACACGGTCACATTGCCCTTAGCTATGGCCATGTCCTGAACTATATTTCCCTTTAGACAGGCTGCTTGAGCTAATTCCGCTCTTGTGATGATGTCCACTTCCTCCACGGGATCCTCCACTGCTGGAGTGCAGTACAGCTAGAAAAAGAAAAAAGAGAATTATCCATAATTTCCAAAGACATGAAAAAACACAGAGGTACTGAAAGCATAATGAAAAGATTTTGGACCTACTCAGACTAGAGCATATTTTGCTGCACATTACTGTAATGCAAGTGTGTATTTTGCATTATGCTGCCATTCATTGAAAATGGCACCCCGAGGCACATATACAGTTGCTGGTGCTTCATCTGCACTTCATGGCACCATATGTCTTGACGTTGTAATGTGCTGTGTTGGAAAAACGGTTGTGTTGACTGCCCATTCAAAATTAATAGGCTGCCTTATTGCAATTAATGTTAAAGCAAAACTAAAGTCCCGCTGTGGAAAAACTGCAAGGAGCTGGAGTTTTTGTCTGTTTTGTGAGAGGCCAAAGGAACTTTTGCCTAATGCTCCCTGCAGTTGTTCTTGTATGCATGTGGTTTGCAGTTGTCAGACGTCCAAGGGAGCTAGTAGTGAGATGAGGAACCCACTGGCCGTTAGAAGCTAAATACAAAGGGGCAACAGCCAATAGGAGGATCAGGGAGGCTAGATGTTCACCATAAGGTGGAATAACTCAGCAATAAGACAGGTTTTTATAGCCAGGGGAGGTAGGACCACCCCCTGGTCACCGAGGCAGCCAGGAGGTCTCCCTCCCTGGGAACCAATGGCAGGTGAGAAAGATGGAAGGTGTGTACTGGGAACCTCCCCCAGCAAGGCTCACACCTGATAGCCAGATGACGCAGGAACGCTATGCTCCCAGGGACTCGCGCATGCGCACCTCGGGCACCAGGTGTTCTACCGAGCTGAAGGGGAACCCGTGCCCTGTGCCATGCCCGTGGTCCCCGAATAGAGGTAACACCCCCTGCTTCCTGACACAGTGTACTTTCCAGCTCATTCCCGGCATGTTGAAAATAGAGCTGGGTTCTGGGACTTCTGTGGAGTTATGTCATCAGTAACTATCCATTGACTGACAAAGAACATTACGGGACATGTAAGAAGTAGTGGCATCAGGCAAAGAAAGAACTGGTGTATGGACCTGTCACCACCGTAATTATACATGCACATTATGACAAGGGCCCACCCAGCCAAATGTACTTCTGCTTCAATGCACTGCAAAACTATGATTGTGCCCAAAGACAATTTAATATGCTACTGACTGATTTGGAAGGCACCAGATGAAAAAACTGATGGCGAGTTCAATAGTATAAGATGACTGTTAAATATTTTCTTAAGAAATATTATACTTACAGATGCTAAAAGCACCACTTCCCTCTCCAGATAGTCTAAAAAAAACAAATCACAGATTTTTAAATTAGCTCAGGTGTGTCTCATCAACTCATAATGAAAGAAACATGATAATTTTGACTTTCAGCATTCTTCATTAGTTATGAGTTTCTCATTTATTATCAACAGAATTTTAGAATTGCTTTTCATACCAGTTTGATTCTTTTTAAAGTACCATGAACAGATGCATTAAGGATCCTATACCCTTCTATGTTGGCAGCAGAGAGGAGCAGAAAAAGCACTACAATCACTACAATACAAGCCTTAAGCTGGCCAAGTTTATTGCTTATTCATTCATACTTGTATGTTAAACGTGCATACCTGCATTCTTCTCCTTCCAACAGTTTCCTGTAGGTGGCAATCTCAATATCCAGAGCCAGTTTGACATTCATTAGTTCCTGGTATTCTCTCAGTTGGCGAGCCATGTCCTGCTTGGCCTTCTGTAAAGCTTCCTCTAGCTCAGCCAATTTATTTTTTGCATCTCTGACTGCCACCTCTCCATGTTCTTCAGCTTCTGATATGGCAGCTTCCAGTTTTGCACGCTGGCAGATTTAAAAAAATTACAAATTTGTTGATAAATATAGATAGAGCGTATACACCAACTGAATTAGGTCTTAGGACATTGTAGGGGTCAAAATAGTTAGTGTATATCTTTTTGTACACATTTCAGGGAAATACAAAAAATCAACACTATTTTATCAGTATTTCATTAAATATATTTTGGCTTTCTTTTATGGTCAACCAATTTATCGCAGGCCTTTGCTTACAATTAACAACATCATCTTCAGCTTGCCCTGTGAGCTCCTCCAGTTGGCCATTTCACTGCCTACCTGGTCTATCAGATAGACAGCACAATAACCAGATGAAGGATTGCAGAGTTGGTTTAGTATTGTAAGCCTGTAATGGCAGGTGTTGTTACTGGCAGGATCTCCAGATAAGAAATTTTGCAATAGATCCACAATTTTCCTAAAGAAAATGTATACAGTTGGGCATGATGCTAAACATACTGAAAAATAGATAGAGTTTATATACACTTAAAACATTTGTTCCAGAGTGAATGCCACACAGAGAGTTTCTGACACTACGCTGACACAGAGTAGGTGTCAGAAATAATGTTACATATCCAACAACATATTCAGTATAATTGGCAGGATTCTGTAATAAAGCATTTCACGGGTAAATATACAACATGAATATTATTTTTAAGGACTTTTCTTCTGACCTAGTATAATAGGTAATGATAGAGTATCTCTCCCATAAGTCCAAAGTATTTTTTATAATTGGGATAAGAGAATTTAACATTGATCGGATATAAAATTTGGATAACAGAAATTAATATTAATCAGATTTTGTAGACCTGAGGTAGTAGAAATCTATGCCTGCCTGAAATTATGTTTTCAAATTAACTGAACGTATACAGCATTGTTCAGGCTTAAAGTGTATCTTAATTATTTGGTTAGTATAGCATAGATGACACTTTTATAGATTATTAGGGTATTTAAATTTTTTGAAGCTTCTGAGAAGGGAGGACTTGCCCTTTAGGTTTTATAAATGATTAGGGGATATATGGTTTAAAGTCAAGATAAGACTTGTTTTCTTAGTATTGGACAGAAGATAAAGAGTAAGAAACCCTGTCAGGTTTTTAATCCCATCTGGGGCTTTGTTAGAGAGATTTCCCCTCACTTCCTGTCCTGCTCACAAGGTTTCACCAGACATAAAATGAGGCAAACTCTCCAACAGCAGCACAGACAGAAACAAAACAAATGTTTATTACAGCAGGGGAAGGTAATATACCCCTGCCAGGTTATTATGTCAATTTTTTTATGTCAATGGTGATTTTTCCTCACTTCCTGTCTGGTAAAACCATTGTGACTAGGACAGAAACTGAAGAAAAATCTCTTTTACGGGGCCCTGAATAGCATAAAAGACCAAACAGGGGTTCTAATCCATCCCCACTCTATCTAAAACTAGACAAAAAGTACTTGTCTTGACATAGATATAAGTAAACATCTGATAGCTACCTTAAAATATGTAAACTTTTTAAAATCTTTTTAAAGCAAAATGCTCAAAGTAAAAGAAATGCTACAGTATTTTCCAACCATAATTTACTGTGTATATATATCTATATTTTCAAAATAATCTGCCAGCTATAGCAAATGTCTCCCATGTTAGTTAAATTGGTATCCGTTTATAGGGCCCTTTTTAGAAGTAGGACTTTAGGGTCCACTGTATCTGTCCCAGGATAAAGTTTCTTGCACTTTCTGTGACGCTGCCAGATGACCTTGGACAAGGGGTCCCTGTGTCTGTCTGTGACTTGAGGACAGTGTAAGTAAACAACCACTGTGGCTACAGTTTGTCTGGGTGAGCAGGGGGGGCCATCGGGTGAAATGCGTCCGGTGTACCATGTGAAGTGTGAAGTTTAAAGAAATGGATGCTTGACACTCTAGTTGAGGAGTCAACAGAGGTCCCCGTTATCGAGTTAAACTAGAGAGGGTGTTTTGCCTTTCTCTAGACCAATGCCCTTAGTTTGCTTTGTAATGAGTTAATAATGTGGAGTCATATATATTTAAAAAAAAAAAGCAAAATTATGTAATTGGGCAGTACTTATGTAAAATGATTGTGTTAGCAAGGATAGCCATGTTTTTCTAATGAGAGGGTTTTGTAGAGTTATTATTTTTAGAAAGGAATACTTGTTTTAACATTTAGTTTAGGTAAGATAGACAGAATCATAACAAATATTACCTGATCTTTCACACTCTCAATTTCTCCTTTAAGTCTTTGAATGGCACGGTTGAGTTCGGCAATTTCATTCTTGGTATTACGCAAGTCGTCTCCATGTCTTCCAGCACTCATACGCAGCTCTTCATACTAAAAAGTTGAAATATCCAGTTACTGTGTACTTTGAACAGTTATTAGGCATACCATGAAAATCTATTGCCAAATTAATTGCCCATCTCCAGATGACAAAGAAATAAAAAAGCAGCTATGGCTGGAATTATTAATTTGAACCTTGTGTTGGGCTCCAAGGTACTCCAAGTTGAATGGCAGCCTGCATCTCTTGGCCCAGAAGACTGGGGAACTCTGCTGTGAATTCAGAGCATCATCTCCCTAACTCCCAAACAGGCATCACCACAGCACCCTTCTTTTACTGTGCATTGCATCAGTAAGAACCCCCCAGTCTGAAGAAGCAGCAAAGATGAAAAGGGACCATGTGGTGTAATATAACTGACCTGATGACTTCTAAAAAGGTAAGTAAAAAACAGCAGATAACACTGTCAGTGGGTGGCCACAAGAGGGATTAACCATGGAGAAAAGCCCAGAGCCAGACTGTAAAGCAAATTTACTTAACTTCTGAGAGAAGCAGAAATAAGTGATCTTTTATAATGTAAGAGATAGCAATATAACATTTGACATAATGGTGGTGATTTAGTGCAAGAGCATTTTTTAAATAAATTTGTTTCTTCCAATATCCAGTTAATATTCAGGAAAATTCCTTCCACTTGTCCAAATATTTGAGGTATTTCACCCAGATATGCTATGCATTTGCATCAACTATTCACTTAGAATATCACACAAAAAAATCTGTGCCTCCTAAAGTGGAATTCCAGCAAATAGGTTGTTAGTTGGTAGTAGTTTTTCTACAGAAAGTTCTTGTTTTTTCTGAAATAGTTGGTATGTGCCAAGTTTAAATAGTGTTCTTCTTTAATGTCCAGGTAACATTTAAAATAGTTTTGCTAAATACACTTACTCTGCTTTGGTACAACAACTCAGCCTCAGATCTGCTCTTCTTAGCAATCTCTTCATACTGAGCCTTGACTTCAGAAATGATACCATCCAGGTCCAGGTCTCGGCTGTTGTCCATGGACACAATAACTGAAGTGTCTGAAATCTGGGCTTGCAGCTGAGCAATTTCCTGTAAACAATAGAGAACAGAAAAATATAATTATTTAAAGCTTTTCTCAAACTTTATCCACAAACTGAATCCCAGTTTGCCAAAATGATTGAAGCCAAATGACTTACTCATTAAAAAAAAAATTAGAATGTCTAGAGCTGTGGTGCCTATCACACAATGTGAAGCCTTGTTAATTCAGGAGCACTGACAGGTTAGCACTTGTTCCTGTAACTTGGGTCCTAAATTGGCTTAAACAATGTTTAAAAAGGCTTATAAAAGATGACTGGATGGATGATACAGAAAATAATTGCTTTATAGGGAATAGTTAATTCTTTTCATCAGTTGTTTATAGTCACACACTTAATGATAAATGCAGCCAAGGAAAAATCAGGAGTTAGTCCTAATACATATCCATAATATATAAGAATAATTAAACTTTTCACATCGAACTGTCTGGTAGAAATTTGCACATAACAGTACATACTGCATCAAATAGTGCCCGCAGGAAGTTGATCTCATCAGTTAGAGAATCCACTTTAGTTTGAAGTTCTGTCTTATTCAAAAATGCTTCATCCACATCCTTAGAGAAAGAGAAAGATAAGGAAGGATTAACATCATGTAGCTATATGTGTTTGGGAAATTATGTCACGTGATGAAAGATAAAATGTAAAACAAATACTAGAAAAACTAAAAATGTTAGGTTATTTTTGTATTATAATATTAATGCACAATTGGTTTGAATTATAATGGTAACATGTTGTCAACTGATAATTAACTTATAAAGCACTGATGCATTTCAGCCTTACTTTAAGGAAAATATTCTATTCTATTCTATTCTAATACCTATTACGGGGTGTTTTATATAGACCCTGTGGGTAATAAAGTAGGGGGTCTATACAAAACATCTTGTTAAAGACTATATTTAATACTGGGTGGTCTATACAAAACACCCTGTAGAGTCTATATAAAACACCCCGTAAAGACTAGATCAATTGTCTCCCTCAGGACCAGATTCCAACTGACCCTGCACTGTACCTCCGAATCTGTAGGAGTGGACCTTTGGAACATAGTGGTTACCTTTGACCAGCCAATATGACATTGATAGATTAACAAAACATTAGATTTCCAAAGGTATAACAACATTTAAAGGTTAAAGGTTCGTGATGGGCTACTACTAGCTCAAAGGAATCTTTTGCTATCGGCTTTACAACATTTAAAGGCCCATGATGGGCTGTTACTAGCTCACATGGACACTTTAATAATGGCTTTACAACACTCAAAGGTTTATGATGGGCCGTTACTAGCTCATACAGATATAAGTGTGGGAAATGTCTTTCAGGCCTTCTAGTTAATATTGGGCCATAACAGACATCACAACACTTGAAAGTCTATGACGGGCGGAGACGGGGCTAGGCTCCTGGAACCATTCACTCACAAAACTGTATTTTGGTGCAACCATAAAGACACAAAGATATTAATTATGTTGTATATAATTATCCTGTTCTGGACAGGATATGCCATTGCAATTGAAAAGGATGCTATCCAATGAATTGATCATGTGTATTGACATGACAGTTATTATATATGATTTATATCTGTTTATGTATGTATGTATATATGTCCGTTGATATATTCTTTTGTCTGTAAATTATGAAGATACTAAGTTGGGAAGTTGTATTAGGGTCCTGAATGTTGTGTGCCCTCGACAAGCCGATCGGACATCACCCTTTTTGGTTTTCATACCCTGGTGTTGCCAGGGACGGTGGGACCTCTTCTCCCTGAGAGCACCACATAGGGCGCTGCCACCCCCATCAGGGATGGTCGGTATCATTTTCCTGCGGACCCCCCTAACGCCCCTGTATATGGAGCCGTTATTTGGTGTTGTTGTCTCACTATGAACATTTAATCATGTTCAGTCCTCTGCTTAGCCTTTGTAGCCGATCAGACCCTGTCTGACCAGCGGAGGGATGCCTGTCATTTCTAACAGACGACTCGTACAGGATTGAATGAATGGGTGGAGCTCCCCGGACGGCGCAATGCCACTGCCGATGTCACCACGCGGGATGCCGTTATAGCGCCCGCGTGAGCCACTGGATGTGGGTGGCTGGAGGACAGTTCTCTTGGGGGATAGACGGGACGGTCTCTCATCCCTGCTTCTCCTTTCCTGCTCTAAATACCTCAGGACAAACCAAGTGACCAAGACACGTTTTCCATTAAAGGTATATTGATTCTTTTTAAGCAAATAGGGGGCTGTTCCCCCATTATGCGCTGATGTTTCCCACAACATATTCATGCATTGTGGATACATGACCATGCCTCTCTTATGTATTTATCTCAGGCTTCCATTGTATTGCCTACCTCCCACCTCCTGCTCAATATTGGGTTGTTTGGTTCCCACTTTGGCTCTCTTGCTCACTGGGGAGGACCATATGGGTGCGTTGCCCGGATAGGCCCGTTTGGGGACACACACACACCAGCTTGTGTAAACTGGTAGGTGAGAACTTTACCTAATTCACTTCCCATAAAGAGAACAACAACTGTACAGATCATATATATTGTTTTTCTACATTACACAGATATTCCCTTTTCCTGAAGAAGCGCAGAGGTGCGCGAAACGTTGAAACTGCTCTTCCACACCTAACCCTTCCAACAGTACTTTTTGATCACATGACTACTATTTATGTTACGTCTATTATGATGTTGGGACTTTATTTGCTTTAATCTAGATTATTATACTTCTATGTGTTGAACCCAGATCATGTTTAATATCTTTATATCTGAATCATGGTTTCCTCAAATGGTCATACTCTGCATGTAGGGCGGTGCTAGTGGAGAAAAAATCTGCTCCACTCCTAAACCCTCCTAGCATTGTTTTTAGACCTATCCACCCATGTTATTATCATGAATTGTGGACACCTGATGAATTAACCCTGATCATGTTTATTTATCAATTGCTAATCAAAATGTGAATCATGTCTTTTCTGAAAACATCTATACTGTGAATGGAAGGTTTTTGCGAAGGGAATGAGCACATAGGGATTTATCTTCTCAGCTGGTTGCTTTTATGAATTGGCTATGAGCCTCTTTTTAAATTATCATTATTAAAAATTATTTTTTATGACTTATTGTTGTCTGGAGTTGTCATTCTGGTGCTTCCAAAACCCCACTTTTCTTCTCATTTTTTGTTAAGGATTTTTACTATAACTTTAAGCATTGGGTCATGAATGTTTGGCAAAGAAAATGTTGCCCAGTTCTCGATGAAGCAGCCAGAATTTGCTCTGTATGGTCACCCTCTGCTCTAAAAGAGTTGATTTTTCAATTGGCTTTTGTCAAAGGAGGCAGTCTGTCATTTCCCTGCTGAATGGTTCCTGCGTCCAATCAGAAACCACTGTTATTATTAATAAGTTGGTCCTAAACAATAATGTGCAGTGAAAGCATCTAGACAGGAACTGGCTAAAAGAGTCTGTAAAAGATTAGGAGCACTGAGATGCAAAAAAACGTTGAAGTTAATGTTGTGTTTTATATATATTGTGGCAGTGTAAGCCAATGCCACGGTGGAGGATGGCGACCTTGGTACCCAGGACTCTCAGCCAAAGGGGCTGAGAGGGTCCAGAAAGTAAAGCATGGTATAAGGAAGAACCTGGCTTTTCAGGTTATTCCAGGTTTTCCTATTTGCAGCTGGGATCTGGAGCTCTGGAGATTTCGTAGAGCTCTGGGTGGGATGAGATCTCCAGTCCTGGGGCCAGGTGTTGCCATTGACCAGCCTGGGCTAATCAGGTGGCTGAGAGCAGCCTTATCAGAAAGCCAGCCCAGTGCTCAGGAGAGTGTTGGAGTTGTGTGTGTGCAGGGAGCACACAGACAAACTCGGGTGCGT